ATATATATATAAAACATTTCTGTCCCCCTCACTTCTGAAATGATGGCTATGCCCCTGAGTTAAAGTAATGAAATATCTTTTGTGTGACTGTTGAAAGTATATGAATTCCAACTAATAAACTGAAAGTGGCACAATTCCTAAATTCTAAATGTTGCCCATTAATACCCAACATCCCTGATGCACAGTAGCTCAATTTTACCAAGCTTTTTTATTTATTTTCTTTTTTTTTTGGGATAGTCAAAAACTTTAAATGACAGAAAATGGCTAAAGCAGTGACAGATGGTTTTCATAAACCTGTCTATTTCATAAACATGGACCCAAGTTTTGGAGCACAGCATTTTGTATTTTACCAAAGGTTTTACTCTGTTGACAGGAACATTTACAGTGTCTGTGCATGATCTGATGTTTTATTCGGACCCAGAATAAGGCGAGATGAACATCGCGGAGCGCTAAATACTCCGTGCAGTGTATGTTTCATTCATACCCGAAGCCGGAGGGCGCTCCCGCGCAGAAAGTCGTACGAGGAAATTCCTAATATGGACAAAAGCGTCCAGCTATCGCTGTATTGTTTTCACAGAAAACAGAAACGTTTGGAAACATGAAGACATTAAACATACGATTGCGACAATATGGTTTATTTGTGTTTGTCAAGTCATCTCCAGATAATAAATAAAGTATATGAACAATGCAGTGCTAATTGATGTAGCATTTATTACAATATAGAAACTATTCTGCCTTATTTCAAAAAATGTTAGCATCATTACTCCAGTCACACGATCCTTCAGAAATAATTCTGATATTCTGATTTGCTGCTCAAAAAACATTTATTATTATTATAATGTTGAAAACAGCTGCGTGGAATTTTTTCAGGTTTCTTTGATGGTTATCTGAAATAGAAATCTTTTGTAACAGTAAATGTCTTTATCATCACTTTTGATCAATTTAAAGCATCCTTGCTAAATAAAAGTGTTCATTTCTATAATTTCTTTTCCAAAAAAATAAAAATTATACTGACTCTAAGCTTTTGAATGGTATAGTGTATAATGTTACAAAAGCTTTTTATTTCACATAAATACTGATCTTTGGATCCTTCTATTCATCAAAGAATCCAGAAAAAATGTACTCAACTGTTTTAAATATTGATAATAATAAAGATAATTAAAAAAGGTTTCTTGAGGAGCAAATCAGCATATTATAATGATTTCTGAAGGATGTGACACTGAAGATTGGAGTAATGATGCTGAAAATTCAGCTTTGATCATAGCAATCATTTTAAAACATATTCAAATAGAAAGCAGTTATTTTAAATAATAAAAATATTTCACAACATTACTGCTTTTGCTGTAGTTTGAATTAAAGAAATTCAGGCTTGGTGAGCAGAAGAGACTTCTTTATAAAACATTCAAAATCTTACTGTTCAAAAACTGTTGAATGGTAGGTTAAATAGATTACAGAAATGTTATATTCCTGAGTTAAAGTAATGAAATATCTTTTGTGTGACTGTTGAAAGTATATGAATTCCAACTAATAAACTGAAAGTGGCACAATTCCTAAATTCTAAATGTTGCCCATTAATACCCAACATCCCTGATGCACAGGAGCTCAATTTTACCAAGCTTTTTTTTTTTTCTTTTCTTTTTTTTTGGGATAGTCAAAAACTTTAAATGACAGAAATGACTTTAAATGACTTTAAATGGCTAAAGCAGTGACAGATGGTTTTCATAAACCTGTCTATTTCATAAACATGGACCCAAGTTTTGGAGCACAGCATTTTGTATTTTACCAAAGGTTTTACTCTGTTGACAGGAACATTTACAGGTATGTCTGCTATGGCATTGTAAAAGCAGCAATTAAAAGTCACAGTACCTGAGTAATACCTAAAAAAATTGGAAATGTCTGCTTTTGAATTTTTGCTTTGATGTACAGTATATGCCTCAGTTGATTTGATATTAGGTATCAGATTGTGTGAAGGTTTGGTAAAGATTTGTTGGTTGGTTTCACTGACCTTTTGTAGGCTTGCAGAATAACCGGTCCATTTAAATGTATGAATGTATAGTTGTTTCTGCTAGAATGAATATTGCCTACAACCTACTGTAATTGAGATGTATGAGGCCTTAGATTAAAATATGCATGCAGTACTCCGATGAGGTGATGCAGGAAATCTGCTGAGAAAATAAAAAATGTTTGATTACTTTTGGATGCTATACTGAAAGTGTTTGGACATGCACTTTTCCCACAGCAATCTGGTTGCTGTCTTAATGTTGACTGAGTGTTTACTGTAATAGATCTGCTTTATTCTTAACAGGCATGTGGCCGGCCTCAAAGAGTGAATTCTGCACTCGATACATCCATCAAAAACATATCTCCCTGAGAAGATAGCCCACCTCAAGAGGTGGTGCTGGTCAATAAGAAAACATGTCAGAGTGAATACAGGATGCCAGCGTGTGATATGGCGGGCTGAAAATCAGACTCTCCATCCATACTGAGAGGATTGTTCACACCTGCAGTGGGTGCTCAGTGCCGTTATTGTGCTAGCTGTGCGGTCGGCCCATTAGCAGCAGGCTGACAGGTGTAAAAAGGGCCGGTGGGTGGCCCTGGGGGAGTGCTAGCACTGCTGTCACCAGTTGGTGCCACATACTCAGGTAAGGGCTCTCATGGGAGTGCCAGATCTCATTAGGATCGCAAAGTAAACTCCAAGCACACCGGGCTCTCAGAATCTCACCTGCTGCGAGCACAAGATGCCACACAATCAGCCACGAGAGCCCTTCTCTCAACATGAGCATTGTTAGGGCTGTTTACCAAGACCATCTTTTGCATTAGTCAGGTGCATCAGTTAAAAATGACCCAAGCAGCATCCCCAAACTAGTACAAGCCTGTTCCAGCAGAAGTTAGATCAGCTAAAGCTGTCCCAACTTAGTGATATACTATACATTATGCACTTTATACTATGCACTATGTACTCAGGCATCTAGTGCATGAGGTTTAAAAGTTGATTTTGTCGTCCACCATCAGAGTATCTACCCTCCCTATAGACTATGTAAGGAAAGCTGCAACAGTTGAGTGCATGAAGTGTCAGACATTCCACACTTTTTTTTGCAGATAAATAAGTGCATCTTCCGTGTATTTTTTAATTGCACTTGTTGGAATTTTCAGTGTGAATGACTACAAAATGAATAAGAATAGTGCATAATTACGTGAATTGGGATGCACTTTCACTTATTTTATTTTCTCATTTGAATGTGACTTTGAAATTCTTTAAAAAAAAAATCTCCAAATGATTCTTCTTGTGTGTACATTTATCCATTTAACCCAATTGTGTTAAGCAATATTTGTGTACTAGTTGATTATTTGGTCTTAAAGTCACAATGTAATGGAAATAGCAACATCTTTTCTTCCATATTGTGACATATTGTACATTATTATTGACAAACTAAAAAAATAAATAAATGATTGGATAAGTCCGGCATACGTCACCAGAGAGAAGCTTATCATTTCACCAAAAGATTGAATTAGGATAATTCAATAAAAAAATATTGAAAAAATCTAGCTGACTAAATGACTCGATTGTTGTGAAAGTTACTCTTGTTCTGTGACACTCTTACAGGATTAACCGTAACTCAAGAGCTTCCACAGAATGGGGTTATTGTTATCAAGCCATTGCCATATTTTAGGGATGGACATTGTCATAGTGGTAGTAACTGTGAGAGTTCGTTTTTATCATTCTTTCTTGGTGCTCACATCATGATTTTACAGACGGAATCCAGTCTGGTCTATTTTAGTCCAGAATGCATTGCTTCCAGATAGGCCTGTCGCAATAATAAATATATTGATTTATCACGCAATATATGTACATGACCTCAATCATTTTTGATGACGCAATATATCGCCCATTATATTTACTTAAAAATTAATGTCACCATGTTTAGTACATTCCACTTGCACCTGTGTCTTTTGCAGCTTCTTGTACATAACGTGGTGTAGTCATGAGGTGCTAGTTCAAATTTAAAAAATGCTTATAGAAACAAAGTTTCATCTGCAGATATGGTCTTGTTTAGGGATCTGAGCCTTTGTGCATATGAACATCTGACTGCTAAGTAGGGATTGTATTTTTCAGCAATCGTGTGCACCCTTAATTACAGAGAAAAGAAGGTCCGGGGAAAATCTGTAAATGGAAAAATCTCCAGTTCTTTGTGCATTTTTCTTTTTTTTCTACTTGTTACTTTGCACTTTTTGTTAGAAAATGTTTATTTACTATTTATTCAAGTTTTTTAAGGTATCTAATATTTTGATACTTAATTTCCATGATCTAAATATTCTTAAAAATTAAAAGTTTGTTGTCATTTGGAAGTGTGTCCTTATTGCATTATTATGCTGTTACATTATGATTATATATTCAGTGACATAAAATGGTCTTTAAAATGACAATAATATCGCTTATTGCAATTATTTCTGGGGCAATATATCGCACAACAAAAAGTTGTTATCGTGACAGGCCTACTTCCAGATGTCACGGCAGATTTTATTCCAGCTGATTCGTAACCCAAGACTTGCCTGATTTTACAGATGTCTCTTGACCAAACACTTTTCTTGTCACCTCAGATAATGTCCCTTAAATGCTGTTGCTTGCTATCCCAGAATAAAAATAGGAGGGCGGAGAGTAGATTAGTTCTCGCAATGGAAATGCTCAGTAATCCTGTCGTCCCAGAGGGGAGACGAAGGAAGATGGGTGGGGAACCAGAAGCAGGATGTAATCCTCTCACAGGGGAGGTGCAGATAGTCACAGTCCCGCAGCTGTAGGACTACACCAAAGCCCTGTTATGTGAACAATGAGAATGAAATGGATCTCACTGATCCATGAGATCACTTAACTCCCTCTCGGAAACTAGGAAAGGTCATTCAACACAGATCCATTTATCAACAAATCATACCGCATTCAGCCTGTGCAAACTAGCCCCTAGGGTTCGTTCCTACCTGCTGAGCCCTCTTCAATCACGTATTACCGTACTTCAGGGATTGTTTAAGAAGGTGACGTTGCTTGTTGACTTGGAAGTACCTCAGGTACAATGCTGCTTGTACAGTGGCTATTTGAGTTGCTTGTGTACACAGATGGTTTGGAATTCCTGTTGCTTCTGTCCTCGCTTGTAATCACTGATTAAAAGCCACAATTTCTAAGAACACTAAATCATACTCACTGTACTGTTAACTGTTCTCAAACAGGGTGGATTACATATTTAACTGCTCATAGAGTCGTAAAGGTTTACCACTGCATTAATGCTGCGGTTTTCCATGTATTTGGCTGATTGCATTTTTCTTTTAAGGTTCACGTGGGTCGGGCACACTTGGTGTGTCCCATCACAGAGTGCAGTGGTTTCTTGGAGGATAGTTTGGTGATTTCGAACCTGTCCAGTGAAGAGCTGACAAAATATAAGTACTTCTTGGAGCTGAGCAGACTGGACTCCAGCACCAAACCGTGTCCCCAGTGCAGCCTGTTTACCTCCCTGAAGGATCATAGCCAACAGACGTCCACCAAGAGTGAACATAAGTATAAGGTCTGGTTTTTCGCATGTTGTCTATTCTGTAGTTAACAACATTATAATGTTGAATTATTTGTCTAAACTGAATCAGAGTGATTTTCTTTGCCAAAAGGCTTTCTTGAGTAAGCAAACTGTCTGTCTGTCTCTTCAAATGTTCCCCACAGATTCAGTGCACAAAGTGCCAGTTTGTCTGGTGTTTTAAATGCCACGCGCCCTGGCATGAAGGCCTGAAGTGTCGAGACTACAGGAAAGGAGACAAACTGTTGCGTCACTGGGCCAGCGTTATCGAACATGGCCAGAGGAACGCTCAGAAGTGTCCACACTGCAAGGTAATGAACATGCTCTACTAAAATGCTCTGTACATATTCTGAAAACTGGATTTTTGTTCATTTTTTGACATTGAAGAGTTACTACAGTACTACTTTACACCAATGTTCATAATATCACATTTGGTATGGTATTGACATCACAATCATGAGTATATTAACATATGCCCTCCTACATTTACATATAAGCTCCTATTTATTAAATAATTTTGTGGAAACCATGATACAATTTTTTCTGGATTATTTGATTAATAAAAAGTTCAAAAGAACAGCATTTATTTGAAATCTAAATATTTTGTAACATTATAAATGTCCTTGCTGTCACTTTTGGTCAATTGAATGCATCCTTGCTGAATTAAAGTATTAATTTCCTTAAAAATAAATAAAGAAATAATTCTTACTAACCCCAAATGTTTGAATGGTAGTGCAGGTCATTTGTATATAGTCTTGGTAATACTTTACAATAAAGTTCAGTTTGTTAACATAAGTTATATATTATATATTTCATCAATTCATGTTCATTTAATACGTTAACTAATGTTTATTTATACAACTTGAATACAGTTTTTATGTTAGCTATTGCATTACCTAATGTCATTAGAGGCTTATTGTAAAATCAGACTGAAGTCTTCTTAATTTTCATTTATTTTTAGTCAGAGAGAGAGTGGAAAACTCATCTGTCACAGTTTTAAGTGCAAGACACTTTACAAACCTTCAGGGGATATATAAAATGTAATGTAAAATATGGCCCATTTAAAATGAATAGGAGTTACGTAGTTCAGATAAACAGTCAGTCATTGTAAAAACTGAATGTTCCCATCTGAGATAGTGAGGAACGATTGTGTTTATTGTCTGTTTTCTTTTCCTTTCCTCCTGTCTAAATTTAATTACGGTCTTGGGAAAAATGGCATTCCAGCCATAAGACGTCATAATACTGGGGTCTGGGCAAAGTGATCCTGAATGAAAGTTCACTCAAGATCATTTTCTCTTCACTGAAACAATTTCAAGAGATCAACAAGTTCTACAAGGCGTTGCTGTTTTCCATCCAGACATGTGCATTCATGACGCTTTTGAGGACCCATCGTAACACAAGTGTTTAGCATAGTGCGCATACCTGAGCCAGATACCTGAAGGCTTAGCTAAGATCTTCCCATTGAGAACCTTCCCTTTCTGAACGAGTTTCTCAACCCATAATACTGAGAAGTGCATTGTTTCTTGGAATAATCACAGTGTAATCATTGTAAATTATCATTTTGTGAGTTCTAAGCTTTCACTAATTGAACATGTCAGTCACTAGCCCAGATTCAAGAAAATCTGCCCCACTAGCTCACAGATCTGACTAGAAATTTTAAAAACAAGTGATAAAAATAAATGGCTGGATGGCATGTGAAGGATAATCCACTTCTTACCTCCAAGACTATGTTATGCTCTATATGACCTTATTATTTTTATTGTGAGTATTAGGCTTATCATTATTGCTGATCACTGTTGTTGTTCTATGATATTGTAATATTTACCATTATATAATCAGAGGGGTATAGAAAAATGTATGAAAGTATCACTACATAATACAATAGCAAAATATATAAATATGTATAGTATTTTTATGTTACATTAATCAGTATTATGTATTATATTAGTATTATAATCAGGATATGGACCAGAAGACATTGCAATTACTAAATGATACTGTATTTAGACAGACTTAAAGAAGTTCCAGATCTATACTTGTGCCCTTATTATTTCAGTTATTTTGCCTTTAATGTAAATAAACATGTGCAAACAATATACTTGCTCTTGTGAATTTATTTGGATGTTAATTACATTGTGCGAGCTGTCTCTTTAATACCATGTGGTTTATATACATATGTTGCTGCTGATTGGGCTGACATGTTTGACACACCCACCAAACAAGAGAAAGCGTATCTCAAACCCCGTTGCACACCGTTTCCAGGACACATGTCGTTCAAACCGGAAACCGTAGCAAAATGTTTTTTTTTTTTTTTAGCTTGAACTTGCCACAGTTCTTCTGCAGTATCACGCAGCAGAATAATAGTCCTCCACTGTTGCAGTTGTATGGATTCTTAACACATTTATTGCAACTACATTTAGTCTTTTTTCATCAAACAAACAGGCTAATGAATAGCTCAACACAACTCATACCTGGGCAGAGTCTAGACAGGGCTTTCTTCTGTGTCAATATAAATTCTATTCTTTGCATCAGCTGAGCATGGCAGGGTCTGATATGACAGCTGACTTAGCCTACCCTGCTCACCCAGTAAGTCTGTTTAAGTAATTAATTAATTAGTTTCAAAATAAATATTTTAAACACTAAGACAAAAAGGAAAGAATAATAAATTGGTTTGGGTATATATAGGCCCATGTTCACGCAAGAACTGGCATTTTGACTGGCCTATGTATCATGATAAAAAAAGCGACTTTACAGTCTGGAAATACTTTAGGCTATAGCAAATTATTTTTTCCCCCTATCACTTTAAGAACCGCTGGTCTACACAGAAGAAAGACCTGTCTAGACTCTGCCACGAGTTGTGTCGAGCTATTCATTAGTCTGTTTGATGAGAAAAATATGAAATTGATAAAATGGGTTATTAATCCGTACAACTGCAGCAGTGGAGGACTATTATTCTGCTGCGTGATACTGCAGAAGAACTGAACATTTAAGCTGAATTCTCGTTTTTCATTTTTTGGGAAAAAACGAAAAAGGAGCCGTTTTCTCATTTTTCTACTTTCAAAATTTTATCAAAAAACGAGTGATCGAATGATACACGGATTATTTATGTATCATCTCTTTATTATATTGACTTCATTTAGATTGCAAGCTCACCAATAAACATTAGTAAATAAACACACTGTTGTGTGTATATGTACAATTTTGTATATAACTGTAAAGTTAAATATGTATATTTTTTTGTTTGTATATAGCTGTACAACCCTTGCACTTCTTTTTACGCAGACAAAGTACAAAGAGTTAATTTCTAGGTTTTATCACAAAGACAAATTGTCTTGACACAAATAGAGCACCTAAAAGAACAGTTTACACTATTTTAGACCATGCTAGTTTACAACTCCCTGATAACGCCAGTTAGTAATAGCACAGAGATATGACCGACTCCATGATGATCTGCTTTTAGTTTGCATATCTGTGTATACTTTACATGAGCCAGTGTTTGTTGGGTGTCCTCAGGCTAGTGCAACGAACTGTAGTATAATACCCAACCATCAATACATTACAGACACAAGTGTTTGGTATACGGGTCACTGGGTTCACTTTAACCGACTGACTTGTTGAGAAAGACAAATGCACTCCATCTTCTCTTAGTCCAGCAGTAGATAAGAATTCTGAATGTGTTTGTTTTTGTGAGCCTGAACTCTTTTCTGTTGCTCGTTTCACAGTGAGTAAAGTGCTGGTGGCTCCAGTGGTCATTGTCCTCGTGGTGGTTGTTGGAGCTCTGGCTTTGGTCATAGGTAAGGATTGTGAAACACTTCATGAATCTCACAAAGCCTGTCAGGAACGTGTCTGGATTATATTTTATCCCAAATTCAAAAGAGTAAAAGATTTTATATATATATATATATATATATATAAATATATTATAATGTTAACATTATTTTTATGACAATTAAGCACCTTTCTCAGTTCTATAATGAAAACATAAATGTGGTTGTGACATAAAATACAATGGTGAAATACAGCAATTTATTTCAACATTCAAAACTGTGGAAAGGAAATATGGCTGATTTAAGATGTTGGGTATCATTTATCTCTATCATTCAACTGTCTACTTCCAAGAAATTGATATTTTTATATTACAGAAATTAATTATTTATATACATCTTGGCAATATTTGTTTTATTGCCATTAATTTATGTATTTATATATTATTTAATGTTTTTTAACAGTAATGGGATTCACTTAATCTCTAATAAGAACATGAAAGAGACTAATGAAAATGGCATGAAATTACTTTTTTTTTTTTTTTTTTTTTTTTGTTTGAAGGGCACAAAGCTAAAAAAAAAAAAAAAAAACCTTCATCGTCCTGAAAGTAAAAAATAAAATCTTTATAATAATGAAAATAAAATTGGAGATAAAAATGTTTATAAAAATAAAATAAAAAATACATAAAAAGTAATGAATTAAAAATGCAACTTTTTTTCTTTTTTATTAAACAGTGGTTTACTGAACAATCTACAGCTTTGTCTTTCATAAAATGTCAGTCGGTACTGCTGCAACGCTCTTTAAACTGCAGTTTATGCTTCTGTTGTAATTGGCAGAAGAGATTTGTTCTTCCACTTCTGGATGCAAAATATTTTAGCAAAACGTATCTTTTTGTCTGAATTATGGCGCTCCCAAATAAATCAATATACCTTGCAAAAAGAGTTTCTAAATATCAATAGCTCAACTTCCACAGAAGTTCTGAACATGCATTGGTTAAAAAAACTGTATTCATTCAGTACACATGTGTACTGAACCAAAACATTTTTATTTATGTATCTATGTTTGAATTTGCTTCAGTTTTATATATATATATTTTCTTTGTTTATTTTTTTCTGTAAAGCACATTAATGGCACGCATAACTTTATACTATGATTGAATGGCTAGATTAGTTTCTTGTTTTCAACCTCGTTGCGGTGTGACCGAGCTGTCCTGTGTTGTGACTGATCTCTCCGCAGGCTTGTTTGCTCTGCCTATCTACTACATCTGTAAGAGGAGGAGGAAGCGCTCACAGGGGTCGGGCCGCTGGCTGTGCTGATTCAGCTTCAGTCATCCTGCTCAGGACCTGGACACACAAACACACACCCTAAAAATAGCCCTGGGTACCAAGTGACCGAACACTGGCCACTTAGATACAACAATCACAATATGCAGTTTTCCTGTTGGCTGCATCTCGTGAATATCTTCAATTGCACAGTGACCCTTTCCTCCACATGGCGTCTTTGGCATCAGGATCAAAGACTAATTGAGGAGATTCTGTTTTTGGAATGTTTTATTTATAACCCCCAAACTGATTTGAATTCAGTTCATTTTTAGGAATGGAACTACTGACTGGTAATAATTTCCTGCTGGATGTGTTATGCAGTGGAGCCACACAGCGTGAATGATTTTGTCCTTCAGTCTACTTATGACGTGCATCAGATGTTATAATCTGTAAGCGCTTAGTGCTTGATGATGGTGAGTTGATGAATTAATGTCTGTCCCTCTTGATCCCCTCACTATTCCTCCCTCCCTCCCCTTCATGCTATGCCGACATCCGCAGGAATTTGCATGATCAACAAAACACGTTTCTGTCTACTGCACTGTGAGTGTTTTTGAAAACAAAAGGCCCTGAATTACAGGGCACCCGCAGCTCCACGCCAAGACATGTAGGTCATCTAGGTCATGCAAATCAGTACTGTGTCATGCAAAAGTGTTGAGGTTCTGTGTTTGCACAAATCTAAAGCTGTAAACCAAACACAAAATACACTGTGGGGTCCAATACTCTGAGACCACTTTTGGAAATGCCATTTCGAATTTCTCTCATTTAATATTTAAATTTGTTCACTGAACTTGTTATGTTGATAATATAATTTGTAATGACAATATTTAGGATTTCCTAATTTAATTTGTATTTTTTTAATGTAAATATATATAACAAAAAATGTGTTTGTGTCTTTATATATATATATATATATATATATATATACATCATTTAAAAAAATTGTTTTAGTTAAGTTGGAAAAATCTAAAATGTTTTTATTATTATTTATTATTTTATTATCAGCATAATAATTAGTGAAAACAAATTAAATTAAATGAAAACTTGAATTGAATGCATGAATTGAAATTCTCAAATTTAATAATTAAATTTGAATTAGTTCACTGCAATTGTTATGCTGATAATATTATTTGTAATGAAAAAAAATAGGATTTCCTAACTTGATTTTTTAATGTTAATATATATAATAAAAATGTGTTTTTTAAATATATATTACATAAAAATGTTACTCTATAAACACACACACACACGCACATATGTATATTAAACATTGTAAGAAATAAAATATTTTTATTATAATATTAGCACACACATATGTGTATATATATATTTTTTTTTTTTTCAAAATGATCTGAAAAACCTAAAACGTTTTTATTATTACAAATTATATTATCAGCATAACAATTAGAGTGAAAACAAATTAAATGAAAACTTGAAATGAATTTAGCCGTATTTTAATAGTCTATTTTAGCAGTCCCGGCTTGTTTTCAAGTCAACATGAAATCAAAATTCACCCTATTTACTTTCTTCATGCATATTCAATATCTTATTGAGAGCGATTCATCTGTGCATGTGATTTACAAAGAAAAAATAGTTGTTTGTCTGAATCCTGATCATGTTATTCAAAATGATTTGAGAATGATCCAAAGAACATCTCACCATCTGCAGGAGTTCACATGATTGATATCAGAAATGTGTGACCTAGAAATGAAGAATTGGTGAGAATATTTCGATTTAAAGTCATAATGTTGATTTTGAATCCCAGACTTGCTATGTGGTCTCCGACTTTCAAACCCCACATGGAAGCGTAGTGCATGCCTTACACCTTGAACAAACTGCTAGATGCATAACATTTTCTACTTGAGTGTATATTATTCTTAGATATGTTCATTCAAATTGAAAGTCCATAATATGGAAACTTTGACATTCATGTCTAGTATATTTTAGCTTTGCACACTGAAACGTAGCCACTGAGCGGCACAGTGTTCAAGACTATCAGCTCAATAGGCGTCCCTGCTGTATTTTGCACAGTGTTATAGATTCACATCCACTGTAATCCACATAACCCGCATGTTGGGTTTATTTCAATCTCAAGCTGTTACAAAAACCGAATACTGTAGCATGTCAGCAATTGTATAACCTTAATCATTAGATGTATATTAGGGTACATGCAAAGAAATTGAAACAAATGGCAACCCCTAAAGCTTCAAGTCCAACATATGTCACATATATTGATTGGAGCTAGCCATTTAATACTCAAACTAAGGCTGGTCTGGAGGAAAGCCAGAAAGAATGCACAGGGAAAAGCATTGTAGGAAAGGTTATAACCATAGCAACGTGGTCTGGCTGGAGTATCAGGAATATGAGTATTAAGGCTTGGAAATACTTGGTCTAGTACTCGTTTGGGAAATGCCCTACACAGAATCATCAGTGTAATACCTAATTCAACTAATTATAAGTGGTTATCGATTGGAATTTTGGAGACAATCAATTATGAAGATGCATTCAGGCCGGTAGTGAATGGCAGTGTTATTCTCAGGGAGAATTTCGTCACATCTGCTACACACTGCTTTATCACTCCAGTGCAGATAACTGAATTATCTGTACTTATATTAAGGAAGACACAACAGAAATCGGTCAGAATGTTAGCTTGGGCTGTTTTTGACATGCTAACATTATAAACTGAAAGCTTTGCCTGCCAATGTGGTGGTGGTGTTTTTATTTTTTTATTTTTCTCCAGAGACGGTGCCTTTTACCAATGGGATTGAACTTTATTCAAAGGAACTTTGTATATTTTAAGAGCACATCTGCTGTGATTGATTTCCAAAGACCTGTAATATTTTATTCCCTAAATATACTGTAGTATGTGTCTGAATCTATTCCACAATGCACATTGTATTATTTTTTTTGCTGCTGCACTTTATTTTCAGATTTAAAGTCAATTCAGGCCTGCAGACAGCAAATATATGTCTTTATCATATTTAATTAAGAATTAAAAGAAGCTGCCAACATTTGGTCTCACTTGACTTTTAATTAGTGTCAAATAGCACTATTATAATTGCTCATACTTAGGGTTAGTGATCTGGGAGGGGGAGGGGGACATTTCAGCATGTATCCCAAGATGCACAATTTGTGCTCCAGATGCACTACTGTTTAAAAATTAGGGTCAGTAGTTAATTGTTTTAAGTAATTAATACATTTATTCAACAGGGATGTATTAATTTGATCAAAAGTGGCATTTATAATGTTACAAAGGGTTTTAATTTCAAATAAATGCAGTCCTTTTGAACTTTATATTCATCAAAGAATATTAAAAAAAAGGTATCTTGGTTTCTACCAAAATATTAAGCAGCACATTAATAAGAAGTGTTCTTGAGCACCAAATCAGCATAATAGAATGATTTCTGAAGGATCATGTGACACTGAAGACTTGAGAGGACATCTGAGGAATAAAAACATTATAAAATGTATTAAAATAGAAAAGTTATTTTAAATTGTAATCATTTCACAATATTACTGTTTTTACTGCATTTTGGTCAAGTAAATGCAGCCTTGTTGAGCACAGACGTCTTTCAAAAATACCTTATCTTACCATATATCTTATATCACCAACCACAAACTTTAAAAAGTTAATCTTCTACCATGCTACAATGATTAATTCTAAATAAGTTTATTTTAGCTAATACAGTAAAACCAGAAAAACAAATTGAAAAGTTATCACCTAACAAAATCGTACTGTAGCTGTAGGCGACAGTGTGACCTACATCTACATCAAGGACGTGTGGTGACAGTGGTCACTGCTGAATGAAAGCTTACTGCTGTGATTTGCATGTGCAGCAAGATAAAATATGCAAGTCTGACCACACATTGGAATAAAATAACTATTGTCTTCTTTTTCTCAATCATAGAGTTGTTGTCCCTCTCATTATGTGGTCTGGGTGCAGCTGTCGCTAGCTAGTTTAGAAACGTCACCCAGTGGCAGGCTACTAGCTTTTACAATGAAATACATGAAAGAACATTTTGATATAGTGAATGTCTATGAGGTTCCATTTGTGTCAAAAGTTAGGACGACAGAACAGGATGACAGTTAGGATGACAGTTAGGACGACAGAACAGGACGAAAGTTAGGACGACAGAACAAGATGACAGAACAAAACGACAAAAAGGACGACAGTAATTAAACAGAGAAAAAGCAAGCAGGACGACAGATTAAGACGACGTCAACAGACAACATACACGCCTACATATACTGATTTACCTGAACAAGTAGGCAATGACTGTAGACAAAGACAAATGTATAGTACAAAGCACAAAGCAGTCGACTCAATTTTGACACAAATGGAACCTCATAAATGTCATTATATAGATGTCTCCGAGATGTAGGCCTACTTGTGCTATAAGAGGATGTAGGTTCAAACTTCACAACAAGCAAACCTTGAGTTAAAGGGATAGTTCACCTGAAAAAAAAATCACTTATCATTTACTCACTTTCATGTCATTGCAAACCTGTATGACATTATTTCTTCTGTGGAAAACAGAAGATATTTTGGAAAATGTATTTTTGTCCATATATTGGACCAAAAAGAAAGTCATACAGGTTTGGAACGACATGAAAGTGAGTAAATGATAAGTGATTTTTTTTTTTCAGGTGAACTATCCCTTTAACTCAAGGTTTGCTTGTTGTGAAGTTTGAACCTACATCCCCTTATAGCACAAGTAGGCCTACATCTCGGAGACATCTATGTGATTTACGTGTTTACATCTGGACAGAGGCGAACAGTGCACTGACATAAAAAAGGAAATTTACTTTTGGTACTTAAGTACTTCTAAAAGCAAGTACTTCTGTTTTTTTACTTAAGTAAAAGTCTTTACAACTTTTACTTGTAATGGAGTAATATTTGACCAGCAGTATCTGTACTTTCACTCAAGTAATAGAGTTGAGTACTTTGTCCACCTCTGCATCTGGAAGATGTATTTTTTAGTGTTTGCTCATCTGCAACACTTCTATAGGACGTTTCCTGTCAGACGTTTAGAAAATGTCTTTAAGATGTTTATGATTTAGAATGTATTTAAAACTGACATCTTGCAGACGTTTATCAGATGTTTGTACGCAGCTTTCCAGATGAAGTGATCTTTAAAAGACATCTTGCAGAGTAAAGTGTGCTATTTGGGTCCTTATCTGCATAGTGACATTGATGTGCAATTGCATTTTCCATTAGAATATCATTTTTATCCATAGGCGGAGATCACCATCTGGACACAGAGGATTCGAACCCCATGTGTGGTCCAACATCAGCAAGCAGAGATTACAACCTGTGTGTCACATGATGAGTCAAGGTTTCCTCAGATTTCCTTCTTTGTCCCTCCCTGCTGGGAGTCTCTGATCATGCAAATTCCAGTCAGATCAATTTCCTGCCAGTGTAAGCACTTTGTTAGGGCTTTGCTGGCCGAAGAGCTGCTTCCTGAGGTCAGCTGACTGACTGACATCCTGTTGACGCCAGTTTATCCCGCTGCTCCACCACTGTAACAGGCTCTAATAGCAGTGCAGGCCAATGAAGAATGACAACAAATATCAATCTCTCTCAGTTTAATACAATAAAAGTGTGACTCGCATTGCTATGTTGTTGTTCTTACTCAAGAAACATGGTACTGCAAATATTATTGACTTGTAATTGATGCCTCATTCATAGTAGCTTTGAATAAAATGTATGCTAAATGAATACATGTA